TCTCTCTCTCTCTCTAAATAAATAAATAAACAAATAAATCTATATATTTATATATATATATGTGTGTGTGTACGTATGTAATTATGTAAGCATGCATGCATGTGTCCATATGTGCATGTCTGTATGTGTTGATATAACATACATACATACATACATACATACATACATACATACATACATACATACATACATATATATATATATTTATAGATACATACATACACACATGGGTTTAGGGTTGTCGCGTGTTGTTTGGGCTTTCCGGGCTTCAGAGTTAATAGTTAAGCATCGATTGTGGCAGGGTGATGTATGCCCCCCTGACTCAACAATATCAAGGCCCGAAATCCTGAACTCCCAAAGCCTGAAGAGACGCAAGCTTAGAATAATGTCGCAATGGTGCTGTTGGCCTTCTTGGCACCTGTGGCTGTTGCCATGACTTTCGCCAGTTGTTGGATTTTTCTTCTGCCCTTCGACACCTTCGACACGCGCATCGCGAGCTTTAGAGGCAACTTGAAAGGGCAGGGCACTTGGTAAGAAGGCCTACAGACTTACAACCACAGAACTTATCACCATAGACACACATTGGCGTTTGAAGTGTAGGTCTGTATGTAATAGATCGAATCCGAGCCCTTGATCATAACCCGAAATGCTTCAGAGCAGGAGGGCATGGCTGCAAACCTTGAGCGAGCCCCAAGACCTGGTTTAGGGTTTAATTTAGGGTTTAGGGTTTAGGGTCTGGGGTTTAGGGTGTAGCTGTAACCGAACCTACACCCGGCCATCCCTGAAAGTCCCGCGCAAACGGCACACAAAGCTTCAACCCTTGCACTCCAAGCCATCAAACCACCCGTCCTAAATCCTCACCGAAGCCCAAGCCGCATCTAAATTGACATATGCAAAGACAGGCAACAGCCCTTCAAGCCCCTAAACTAAAAGCCATGATTAACCCCCACACGGAGCAAGCACTTCTGGAACTCTTTAAACCTCTAAACCACCGAAGCCCGAATCACATCCCTAAACCGTCAATAACCAAGCCAATCGCGAATCGCGGATCCTTATGACCCAAAACCCTAAGATACTAATAAACCCTAAGATACTAAACCCTAAACCCTAAACCCAAAACCCTAAGATACTAAACCCTAAACCCTAAACCCTAAACCTAAACCCTAAACTTAAAAACCCTAAGCAAGGAGCCGTGGCCTTCGCGGATCTCTTGAAGACCGTGGCCGCAGTGGCCTTGGCTGCAGAGCCGGCTCCCAAGGTGACCGCATCCAAGGCAAGCTCGCCCAAGGCCTGACAAGGAGTTTAGAGTGTAGGGTTTTAGGGTTTAGGGTGTAGGGTTTTAGGGTTTATGGTGTAGGGTTTTAGGGTTTAGGGTTTTAGGGTTTAGGGTTTGGTTTAAGGGTTAGGTGGTATTCAGTTGGGTATTCTAGTTTTCGGGTTTAGAGCTATGAGGTTTCGGGCTTTCAAATATACCTATACATACATACATACATACATAAATACATACATACATACATACATACATACATCTTCCGGACGCAGCGAACGAGTCGTCGCCTAGCTAGTCAAGGCAGAACCTTCGGTTCCGGCACCTCATGGGTGCGCACATTTGTGCCCCCCCAGCAACACTGCAGCTACGAGTAGCGGTACAG